TGTTGACCAGGATGGTCTCGATCTCTTGACCTCGTGATCCACCTGCCTCAGCCTCTCAAAGTGCTGGGATTACAGGCGTAAGCCACCATGCCCCGCCTTAGACAGTGTCTTTTCAGGGCCTTTGTGTATATTCTCTACCAAAATGGACCTGACATTGATTGAATAAATCAAGATGGAAATAATGGCTTGTGAAATTGATCATTTTAAATGTAAAGATACTCCTGTTTGCCAAATGTGTTCCGCACTGTTGGCTCACTTTGAGTGGTTCACATGCCTTCTATAGAATGTGGGATTATGGAAGAGGTTCAGTGTGTGTATATATATATTATATATAAATAATATATACATAATATAATATATATTATATATTATTTATTATATAATATATATTATATAATATATAATATATATTATGTATATATATTATATAATATATGTAATATATATTATATATTATATACATAATATATATAATATATTATATATATATAATATATTATATATATATAATATATATATAAATATATGAAGTCTTATGAATCTCATGGGTCCTGTCCCTTAATTATTTTGTAGGTGTTTCATTATTATAGGAACATATCTTTAATTAGACAATATTTTAATAATAACTATTTGTCTGGAGGACATTGGTTCAGTATCTTTCTAAATCAAGAACTGGTAAACCACAGCTTAGTAGATCTAAGATTAAGATTTAAAATGTGGTTGGAAACTCACTTGAGGCCTGCCCACCTAAAACTGCTTTCTAGCAATTGCATGCTGACTGCACCCATGAGTCGTAAGTCTCTGGTTGCAAAGTCTGTCTAGTTTGATATTCACTCTAAATACTGGTAAGAGAAACAGACATATATTCAGAACTTATGGCTTGTTGAAGATGGTATGAGCAACGTGAAATCTGGGGAAGGGGTTCATGTCACATGGAAATTGGGAGTCTTTGAAAAAAAAATCTCTAGCATATTAATTTAAAAATAATAAATCTTGTTTCAGAATGTGCAGTGAGTTTGGAACTCTTGCCACCTATAATCTAAGTAAGCCATGTACCAGGATCTTAAAATCAGTGGGGAAAAGGAACTATTCAGTAAATGGCTTTGAGATAATGACATATATAATCAGAGAGCTACTTTCTTACACCTTACATCAAAATAAGTTTCAAATGAAGCAAAGATGTGAGCATAAGAAAATGAGCTCATTAAAGGACTAGATGACAAATAGATTGTTATTTAAAGTATTCCCAGAGGCAAAATGCCTATGTATGATACACATACAAAAAAGAAATCATAAAAGAATATACAGTTGATTGCCATTATTCACAGTACTTACGTTTCATATATGTATCATAAACATTGAATTAGCAAGTAGTGAATCATTTTTCTTAGGGGAAATATAGGATTAGGTTCCTATAAGCTTCTGTTCCCAACATTTTTGTCAATTTACCAATATATAACCTGTTGACTGTGTGTTTCTGTTTAAAGTCACCTTGTTTGCTATGTATCATTATTTCACAAACATTGGACTCGTGGCCAATACACTATAACTCTTTCCTGAACAAAACTTATCTAACACATATATTTTGTCCATGAGGGACATCCCAGCCTTCTTATGTTCAGGAACACTAGACAGCATTTCAGCCCCATGCTTAGGCCATTTGAAACAGAAAAATCACCAGTAAAAACTGTAAAAATGGAGAAATTGTGGCCCTAAATAGATTATGAAAAGAATACAGTATGGGAGTTGAAGAAAGGAGGCTGGGCATGTGGGTCTCAGGTGACTCTAATATTTTGCTGCACTGTGAATATATAAGTCTGATAATGACCATGCAATGTTGTAGTATTGACATTGGGGTTACAAATAAATTTTAGCAGGTAGATTAACTGCAAATAAGTATTTGCTGTGATTGATGAGAATTAAGTATATTTACAGATAACTTTGACCCTATAAAAATGGAAAAGTTCTACTAGACAGACATACAAATCAAGTCAAAAGACCAACATCAAACTAAGTAAAAGTAACTGCAACACATGTCATAGAAATCTAGGTAATTTTTAAAATCTACTAAGCATTCTTCAATGTCACTGTAAAAAAACGACCAATATCCTGTCATTTGCAACAACATGGAGGAACCTGGAGGATATTATGCTGGTGAAATAAGCCAGGCACAGAAAGACAAATACCTGATGATCTCACTTATGTGTGGGATCTAAAAAAATTGGACTCATAGAAGGAGAGATTAAAATGGTGGTTACCTGGGACTGCAGTGTTGAAGCCAATGGGGTAAATGTAGGAAAGTGCAAGATGTTGGTTAAAAGATTCAGAGTATCAAACAGCAGGAATAAGTTCAAAAGAAAAAATACCCACAAGTCAGAAGAATAATAACAAAAAGATGTGAACAAATAGTTCAAAAAAGGAAAGGAATACAAATCGTGTACAAATATTTTAATAGATAACCCACTGATACGGTTCAGCAACAAAGCACAAAAGGATGTGTAGTACAAAATGTCCTCCCATCCCAGCCCCTGGCACCAAGCAAGCCACACGAGAGGCTGCTGATTCTATTAGCTTCCTGTATGATCTTCTTCAGATACTTTATGCAAATATAAGCATATTTGTGCCTGTGAGTATGTTATGGGTGTTTCCCTTTTTTGGTTACACTAATGATAGTATGATATAAAAACAATTACACATCTAGCTTTTGTTGTACTTTTAATGTATTGAGGAAATCATTCCATATTTATATTTATTATAGAGCTACCCAGTATTAAAAGCTGCCTACCATTCTATGCTAATAGTGCCATATTAACGTTTAATATATATTGTTTGCTGTATTTTGCCACTACAAATTACCCTACAAATAGACCGGGTGCAGTGTCTCACACCTGTAATCCCAGCACTTTGGGAGGTTGAGGTGAGCGGATCATTCAGCTCGGGAGTTCAAGACCAGCCTGGACATGGCAAAACCCCGTTTCTACACAAAATACAAAAAAAAAAAAAAAATTCAAAATTTAGCTGGGTGTGGTGGCACATGCCTGTAGTCTCAGCTACTTGGGAGACTGAGGTGGGAGGACTGCTTGAGCCTGGGAGGCAAAGGTTGCAGTGAGCCAAGATGGTGTCATTCCAGCCTGGGTGACACCGAGTGAGACCCTGTCTCAAAAGAAAAAACAAAAATGACAAATAATATTATTTAAATACCTCTGGGAAATCAACAACGACATCAGTAGTAAATATCTTTTTGGCCAATTTGTGTCTTTTGAATTTTGTACTATATATATTTTTTAAACTATTCAACAAATAGTCATATTTTCATACAAATAAAGGCTCTAATGATTTCTTTTATTATTTCTGGAAAGGAATTAGATTATATATCCGTGATAGAATATAATACTAAGTATTAGATTGTAGAAAGATTTGTTTCAAGGTGGTTATTTATTCATGTTACTACCTTCTTCAATCATAACATCAGTAAGATCTCAATGATCTAAATCTTTGGGCTGTGTAAATCCTGAATTACTTAGGTCTCTGCCACTGGAAAGTGAATATCAAAAATTGTCTATTTAAGAAAAAAAGTTTTTATAAGTCGAGTTGTATACTGGATCCACAGAGATCAGTTTAAGTGTAGCGCTGACAATAGAGATTGGATAAAAACGATATTAAAATTTCTTTTCTCATTCAAGTTCAAATTTTAAAAATTTGAAAGACATGTTTTAATGTATAAATAATTGAAAAGTTGTTGACAGTCATTTGTTTTGCAGTCAGCAAGTGGTAAGAATCTTTGGGGAGACAACAGGAGAATAAATGCTGTAGCATGCATATATACATAATGAAATATGGATGTGGGTGCAGAGGCTACACAGGATCTCTGGGATACTAGAAATGTCTTTCTTGCCATGGACCAGCTAACATGCCTTGGTTGTGCTAGTGTGCTGAGCCCTGTGGACATTACCTCATTAAATATTAAATAAATGTTATTTTTTTCCTATTGCCTTTCTCTCTTCTATATGAAAATACGTAAGTATTCTCTGAAGGCTTTTCTTTTGCTTTTGTGAATACCTTCACACCATGTTGTATTCTGTCTTGGTTAGTTAAAAAAAAAGTTAATTATATTCCTTGATATGAGACAATTGAACCATTTTACACTTTCCATGGAGGACAGCATGTAACGCAGGTTTTTCTCCTACAGGTTGTGGGACTGGAAAGTATCTTAAAGTGAACAGCCAGGTGCATACCGTGGGCTGTGACTACTGTGGGCCATTGGTAGAGATTGCCCGGGATAGAGGATGTGAAGTCATGGTATGTGACAACCTTAATCTCCCCTTTAGGGATCAGGGCTTCGATGCCATCATTTCCATAGGAGGTAAGGCCACAGGATCACACATTCCTTGAGTGAAAAAACAGCACGTTTTTATGATCTGTAACTATGAATTAATGTGATGTGGTTATTTTCAGTTAGATTTCACATTTAGAACTATATTATGGTAGACAGGCATGGCGGTAGGCACCTGTAGTACCAGCTACTTGGGAGGCTGAGGTGAGAGGATCATTTGAGTCTAGGAGTTAAGTTTGAGTCCAGCCTGGGCAACATATCAAAACAGTCTTCCAGCTTTGCTTGAGATTAATTTCCTCCCTGATGTATTGGCAGGTCTGTGTAGGGAAAAATAATTTAAAATTTTCTCTTGACGTAATACTGTGATTAAATTCCCCCAATAACTAACAGACTAGCGCTTTCTGTATATTTGTGGATAAAATTACGCCTAATAACACACTTAGGACTTGATAAAGGCAGTCTTCCTTGAAGCTCATTTTGCCTTTTGAGAAGCTGAAAGTAAAATGATGACCTATACATTGATTTTTAGTAGATATAACTATTTTATATTTTATTATAAGCAATCGATTGGACTTATGCTGAGCTGGCTGATCTTTGCATTATCTAGACAGAGAAACAATCTTTAACATATTTCTCTACTTCTCAGCCTTATTAACACTTACTAGGAGTATTAATCCTCCATTACTTTAGAAGGGCAGATTATTCGCTAAAACAATAAGTTACTTCATAGAATTCAACCAGGGAACACTTAGTATCCCTTTTAAATTTTAGTAATTCACATTGGCCATCCTTCTGGTTAAAAAAATCCATAGTATTCTGGAACTGGAAGAGACTTTATGGATTTATGGACTCTAGACTTCTTCTTATACAGGATGAATCTTAAAATCTGTAGAACTTAAATATCTTGCCCAAGATCAGCTATCTAATATTAAAGTACAGGAGCCAAAGCTAAAAATTATGTCTTTCCTAAAATCAGGCCTGTGCTATCTCTGTCATCGTTGCCATGGAGAAAATAAGAAGGTTTTACTAGATGTCAAAATGTCATCATTGTTATATGGTAAATACCAGTATATACATGTGTGGGTTTATGTGTGTGCATACACATTGAGATCTAGTTTTGTCTTTTTCAGTCATACATCATTTTTCTACAAAACAAAGAAGAATCAGAGCAATAAAAGAAATGGCCAGGGTCTTAGTTCCTGGAGGCCAGCTGATGATTTACGTGTGGGCAATGGAACAGAAGAATCGTCGCTTTGAGAAGCAAGACGTGCTTGTTCCATGGAACAGGGCCCTATGTTCCCAGCTTTTCTCAGAGTCCAGCCAATCCGGGAGGAAGAGGCAGTGTGGACACCCAGAAAGAAGCCATCCTTACCATCCTCCTTGCTCCGAGTGTAGCTGTTCTGTTTGTTTTAAAGAGCAGTGTGGTTCAAAACGGTCCCACAGTGTGGACTGTGAACCTGCTATGGCAAGAACCTGTTTTGCAAATATCTCTAAGGAAGGCGAGGAAGAATATGGATTCTACAACACATTAGGAAAATCATTTCGTTCTTGGTTTTTCTCCAGATCTTTGGATGAATCGACTCTGAGGAAGCAAATTGAAAGAGTAAGACCCTTGAAAAACACCGAAGTTTGGGCCAATAGCACTGTAACAATCCAGCCTTCCAGACACTCTAGTTTAGACTTTGATCACCAAGAGCCATTTTCAACAAAAGAGCAAAGCTTAGATGAGGAAGTGTTTGTGGAACCTTCTTCTCAAAAGCACTTAGAGTGGCTGAGAGCACCAGGCACTCAGAAGCATTTAAATGGAGACCATCAAGGAGAAATGAGGAGAAATGGAGGGAGGAATTTTCTGGATAGCACTCATACTAGTGTGAATTGTGCGGGTGTGGGTAACTTAGAAGATGATAATCCTTCTGCTAGTAAAACATTGAGAAGGATTTCTGCAGTCGATTCCACAGATTCCAACCCAGATGATACAATTTCTGTCGAAGATCCACAGCCCGATATTTTGGACTCGAGAGCCTTTATGCGCTACTACCACGTGTTTCGAGAAGGGGAGCTCTATGGTCTGCTCAAAGAGAATGTGTCAGAGCTCCGTATCCTGAGTTCTGGGAATGATCATGGCAACTGGTGTATCATTGCAGAGAAAAAGGGAAGTTGTGATTGATTGTATCCTTTTAGACAACTCCAAAAGATTAACCACATTCTTTCGCTACGTTTGATATGGTTACATGAAATTGCATTCAGTTTTATTATTTGTTAATCCATTAATCCTTTGTCTGCAGAGACTACGAATTATTTGGTTGTTTTTCTTTTTAACTTTGAATAAGCACAGATACTGGCACTGAAAGCACTTGACAAAGGGCATTTGTGCTTAAATGTTAATATAAAAGATCTGAAGAAGCAACAGAAAATGCCCGTCAGTACAGTTCAGATTTTTTTAACCCCTGAAGGATAAAATACATGGATAGTGACTTTCAGTATTGTGCATTGATTTAAAAAGTTGATGCTGTTAAATAATCTTTTCAAACAGTATTTTTATAAAGTGAGGGGATAATTTCTGGTTCCTAGGTTATAACTGAGATCAGTGTGCAAGACAACAGGGAAACTTTAATCCATTGCACAGATAATACATTGAACCATGTGATGAGTTATTTTGTTGCCAAGGTCTTGCTTCTACTTAAAGTTTTGAGAAAACTGAGTGACTGGAGAGACCCAAGAAGTGTTGCAAGGACTTTTCTAAATTATAAGCAAACTTGCTTCAAAATAAGTTGACACATGATAATAATGTTTTCAATGTAGCCCATGAGGTTTTTAAAGGCACTGTTAGGTTGAACATGGTGGCTCATGCCTATAATTCCAGCACTTTGGGAGACTGAGGTGGAAGGACCACTTGAACCCAGGAGTTCAAGAGTAGCCTGGGCAACATAGTGGAACCCCCATCTCTATAAAAAATTTTTAAAATTAGACAGGTGTAGTGGTGCATGCCTGTCATCCAAGCTACTCAAGAGACTGAGGCAGGAGGATCACATGAGCCCAGAAGTTCAAGGCTGCAGTAAGCTGTGATTGTGCCACTGCACTGCAGCCTGGGCAACATAGCAATACTCTGTCTCAAAATAATAATAATAATAATAATAGAATAGACTGGGTGCCGTGGCTCATGCCTGTGATCCCAGCACTTTGGGAGGCCGAGGCAGGCAGATCACCTGAGGCCAGGAGTTCAAGACTGGCCTGACCAACATAGAGAAACCCCATCTCTGCTAAAAATACAAAATAAGCTGGACATGGTGGCATGTGCCCGTAAGCCCAGCTACTCAGGAGACTGAGGCAGGAGAATCACTTGAACCCGGGAGGCAGAGGTTGCAATGAGACAAGATCACGCCATTGTACTCCAGCCTCGGCAACAAGAGTGAAACTCTGTCTCAAATAATAATAATAATAATATAAAGGCATTGGATTAGCTTGTAAGGAGTGGAGTATGTAGGTACTAGGAGTTATGCAAGTACCCAAGTGATATTCTTCCAATCTTATTAGAAGCGTAAATATTCAAGATTGATATTATTATTGCTTATTAGCAAGATTATCAATCATGTTTATTAGAAGCATGAATATCCAAGACCAAGGTTGACTAGTGATGACTCTGCATCAAGAACTAGGCATTTATTTTGAGTCGAAGGACTCTTTAGGAAAGGAGAACCTAGGTGAAGCACTGATTTTGGCTCTGAGAACAAACAGATTAAGGTACAGCATAGTTAGCCTTGGTAGAGGTATGACTGGGATTTGCTGTAACCTTTAAAATAGTATCTGGGCATTTATTTTATTGAAGGTGACTACATTTTATTAGTTATATTAGGAATTTAGGCAGAATCGACTTCTACTGATTAAAGGTTGAATTTGTCGCTTTATAGAGAAACAAATAGACTCGACACAGTATGGTCACCGAATCTGTTTAGATTTGCCCACGGGTCTATTTAAATCTATGTCATGGATCCTGAGACACAAATATAATTAAGACAGGTCTAGAGACTTAGGACAAGCAGAAATAAGTTGACCCAGGAATGTAGTTTCAAGTTGTTCATTAATGAGAAAATTGACATTTGACAGGAGTCTTTTTACTTTATCCTGGATGAAAATCCAAATCTTGTTTTATTTTTCCACTAAAAGTAGTAAAATAATAATGAATTTCATTTGTTCTTGGGTTCTTTTTTCCTTTAATGATTGTGCTGTAACTTAAGGTAATGATGTTACTTTTGGACAAACTTAACTATTTTTAAAGCATATCTGAAAACAGTTGATGTTTATAACTCTCTTTGGCTCCAAAATAAGATTGTGTTATCACCATTTTGGTAGATGAGCTTGTCTGGTGAAATGACGCATATGATTTATACTGTTCAGTGTACATTTTGCAGTAGTAGATGAACGAAAACAACTACAAGTGGAACATAAATTAAAAATTAATTTAGTGTCTTCTGTTTCTTAATTTGGGACATTAAACCATGACTGTAAGTGGTTTTCTTGGTAAAAAGAAAAGATTCTCAGAGTTGAAAATGTTTTTACAACTCAGGCGTGATGGCTTTTGAATTATTAATGGATTGGATTTTTCCTCTCTCTGAAGACAATTTTCACATGGGTTTTTAATCCTGACCTTGCTGCTAGCAATCTGTGCTTGAAGTCATCTCTTTCTGGTGGTAGCCTGCCACTTGAAAGTCATGACGTGGTGGAATTCAGTTTACCAGACTGCTAGCATAGCCTTTGAGCTAAACTGTCTGAGCAACCTCTTAGATATACACACACCACTTTGTATTAAAGGGTTTTCTAGAACAGCTCTTTGGAGAGAAATATTTTCATGTAATTTTGACAGGAGTGTAAATAAAGCATGGTGACTAATAAGTCTTTCAGTCTTCATCTGATGAACACAGGAATCTGTGCTTCCAGATATTATTTTGTATACAAATATTTAACTAGGTGATTGATCATCTCTCTTTGGGATAGTCACATGAAAAGCTCTTTTAAATTTAACTTCTGCCTTTGGATTTTTTTTTTTAAAAAGCCATTGAAGAGCAAAACTAATGTAAATATCTTGATCATTTAAAAAGCTTACTTGTCCTCACAAGGAAACACAGTCATCAGTGAGTGTAAATGTAGATGGTTCATTTGTGAAGGTTGTCTCCCTCAACTTGCTTGATGATAGAGTCTACTGATCTAGCTGGAGTAATTTGATCACTTACTTCCTTATTAATACTAGATCACACAGTGTCTTTCTGATTCTTTCTTCTTTACTTACTGGCATCAGCACAGACTCCCACTATCTGAAATAAAAGAGAGAGTTTGGGGGATTATTGGAGGACTCTTAAGAAACTTTGTTGGGGGTCGGTGTGGTGGCTCACACCTGTAATCCCAGCACTTTGGGAACCCAAAGTGAGTGGATCATCTGAGGTCAGGAGTTTGAGACCAGCCTGACCAATATGGTGAAACCCTGTCTCTATTAAATACAAAAAATTAGCCGGGTTGATGATGCATGCCTGTTATCCCAGCTACTTGGGAGACTGAGGCAGGAGAGTCGCTTGAACCCGGGAGGCAGAGGTTGCAGTGAGCCAAGATCACTCCATTGCACTCCAGCCTGGGCAACAAGAGCAAAACTCAGTCTCAAAAAAACCACAAAAAGCAAAAAAAAAAAACCTTGTTGCCTTCCTGATGCCTCCCTGGCCTATTTGAGGAATTCCATGTAAACCTTCAAAGGATTTGGGGGAAAGTGCATTAACATGGACAAAGGATGGAACCAAAATAATGTTATTGTGGGAACGATGCCAGCACCTATTTACATTTTTTTCAATTGCCAGTGTAGTGATGACATGACACCAGCATATCAAAGACACTAACAAACCAGCTACACAGACATCTTGGAGTTTGGTTTGGCTCTCTTTTCTCATCACATATCTCCATGCAGAATAGTACTTACTCTTATTTCTAGTTTGCCTGTGTATTTCCTTCTAAATTCTACATGCCAAGAGTTCGTCTGTCTTTTAAGAGGTCATCAATTGAATGGGCAAACATTTGGAGGTGATCCAGAGAGAAAACAATCCAAATATCAACCAGCTTGGAACACTAATGCACCTGAATATTAATGGTAAAAACAAAAAATAAGCCCTGTGGGTTTTTATATTAAAAAGAATATATACATATATATATATATATATATATATATATATATATATACACACACACACACATATATGTATGAGTTTGGAGAACAGAAGGTCTAACTCAGCAGTTGAACTTGGTGAGGGAGGGCACTGGTTAAATATGAGCTGTGAGCACCCAGTTTGGGAGGAAGGAGGAAATGGGGACCAAGCACCAGCCAAGCAGCTGCAGTCTAAGAAGAACAAATTAGGGCAGGCCTCAGCATCTCTTTCCTATTACATAAAAAATTTGAAATAAGAATAGCTGTGAACGTTTCTTAATATACAATATTAATTTTTTCATTTGCAGTCCTCACCACAGCCCTCTGAGATAAGTATACTTATTTTTCCCATTTTGCAGATGAGGGAAACTGAGGGAGAAAAATTAAATTGTTTAAGGTTACACACATAGTAGGTATCACACAGTTAGAGGCAGAGCTGGGATTCAAACCCAGGTCTGGCTCCTAGCCTTTGCTCTTAACCACAACACCATGTACTCCCACCCCTGGGCCCAAGTCACGTGGTTTTTAGAGTATTGGAGCATTTCAAGGTAAGCATGATTGGATAATGGGCTTTGGAAAGGTTAAGCAACGATTATACAGCTAGACAGTAATTCAATATATTTTCCCTTTTATCTTTTTTTTTTTTCATTTGTAAATCTGTTTCAATTTTATTTGAATTAAAAAATACTTCTTGGTGTCAAAATACTCTGGGACCACTTTTCTCCAACTCTTCAATCTATTAGCAATTATATAATTTTCCCATTTTGTAAGTAAGGTAACTGAGGACTATTCAGATATTTCTTTCACTCCATTTGTTTACTAACCCCTACTGTGTGCTGGATACACAATCTGCTGTGTCCTGGCTACATACGATACAAGGTAATGACTATCTGGCATCTTGAAGGTGCCCAGAATATTAGAATTAACTGCCCTAAATGTGCCAAGCTGAAACATTCTTCATATTCCCTGGGCGCCCATTACCAAGTTATATTGTTGCGTTTGAGAAAAACAACAAACGACCCTCCCTTAGAGAATCACGATGCATATTAGCATATTTAAGGACTACGCTAAAGCTTGGATTTAATCTAGCTTGACCTAGACATATTAACATCCTGTAGCACAAGCGTTCTGTGGGATATATTTCAGAAAATAATATGTCCTACAGAATAAATTCAGACTCCTTTGGGTGGCATTTAGGCCCTTCATAAACTAACTCTGAATTATTTTTCAGTCTCATTTCCTGCAATTGCACCCAATTTTTTCTGTTCTGTAATCTGCTATTTTAGACAATGCTTTCATAAGAAATTACATAATGACAAGTAATTCCCACATTCTCTAGATATATACTTGGATTTCAAATGCCATAATTGTAATCTTTCTCCAAAGAAAAATGCACGATACAGGCTTCATTCCATCAAGAGGCATATGAGGTAAGTGTTATTATACACCCATCCAACAGATGGGAAATCCACGGAAGTGGAAGGGAATCAGGGAAGCATTGACAGACCTTCAACCAACCATAATGCTTAACTCCTCTTTTTCCAGTCTTAACTCAAAACTATGATTATTTTAATGGTATAAACTCCATATCTGCAACCTCAGTTATCTACAAAACTGAAGTGCGAACATTTAAAAAGAACTCTCACCAACCAAGGACTGAAATTATAATGCAAATGGAAAGGGCTCAGCATGAGAGCACAATCAGAAACCGAAGAGAGTTGATCAAAGA